GTACCTGCTTTTAATACTCTTGCAGTGTTTTTCGGACACGTGATGGATCTACATCTCAGGCTAGGCATTCAATTAATAATTCTTTTTAGATGATGAAGGCATCGATCAACATGCTCATTTGACATTTTCTAGCCTACGACAACCATCTATAAATATGGTTCAAGCTCCTCGCACAAGTGTCAATATAAATATTGAGCATGAAGAAGAATATTCAATGCATTAGAGAAGATACAATATGCTGAAATCCATGTCATAATAGGAGGCCTTCAAATGTGGTACAAGAGGACACATGGTAGACATTAGCTGACCTTATTGACTCTTAACAAAACACTATTCTCTTATGTACTTTTCGCTGACTACATCTCATATTTGCATTAAAATCACCAAATGAATCGTGCGTCTTAGTGAAAAGGCAATTTGATAATTAAAAATTTTTTATTTTGTATTAAAACCACCAATTCATTTGGTGGTTTTAAAAAAAAAAACTAAATATTATTGTTTATTCCTCTAATTACTTTTTATTGATTGCTTGTGACTATGAGTTATTTCTTATATTGCACTGAAACCACCAATTGAGTTGGTGGTTTTAGTGCAACATTCTTCCTTCAGGGTAGGATAAATATTAAATTTATAAATAGTTTTCATTTGACATTATACTTGTAAATAGTTTCTACAAGAGCATTATTTTTGTCAAAATTTTCATATTTAATAACTTATACATATAATTAAAAGATGGGTTACAGTAAAATCTCATCCAATTTTCTGCTCATAACTCCAACAGCCTAATCAAATGTTTAAATTTTGTCCTCCCATTTTATGGGAAAAATTTGGTGGGAAATAAATGTTTAATTTTTATTTTAAAAATGTGCACATTTTGTAAAGAAAGTATGTGCAAATTTAATTTTGGAGCCAAAATTTTTTTATAATATTAATTGTCTCTTCAAATTCTTCCAAAATGGCTACACATAAATAATATATATAAGAATTTGCACACAAATTATAGTTAAAAAAAAACTAAAAGTTCACTTCCTACAACTATTTCACATCCCTTTGATCTAAACCTGCAACCTCCTGATTCGTCTATAACTTCAAAAAATGAGTTCACTCTGACCGATGATCCTTTGGGCTTGATTGATTTACATGCAAAAGAAAACACATAATTATTGAATCATGAGAAAGAGTTTGACTATACATTGTCCTGTTGGCATGATTGCTTGTATAAAGAATGAAGCAAAAAAAAAAAAAAAATCATATAAGAAATAAGAAATTTAGTGAATGACATGCTTATATAACTTCAGAAAATGGAGGAATTTGATGGAGAATTTTGTTTTTGCAACAAATTGTTGCCTTTTTTTTTATATCATTCATAAAAATTTGTTAAACAATCTTTAATGTCGAATTTATATAAAACGTTAATTCTTTTTTTTTTTTGGTAATTTTTTTTTTTTCATGAGTAGTTTGTGATAAAGTATGCTCATATATGTGAAACTAAACACATAACAACTTTTCCATTCTTAACTAATAAAATATACATTATAATATCCATGAATTTTTTTTATCTTACTTGCAGTATAATGTGCTCATTATATCATCACGAGGAATATATAACTATATATAAAAAATATGTCGCAATTAGAAGATTTAAACGTAGATGATGTCATAATAAACAAATGAAAACATACATTATAATATCTATGCATTTTTTTTAGGTTGAATACATAAATTCACTGGCTAAACACATGATTTGCCCCTTGAACTTTATCAAATTTGTCGTAGACCCTTTTTTCAAACATTATCTTATTAGGCCTTCGAACTTTGTCCATGGTGTCCACTCGCCCCTTTTGGCGAAACTTTAATAGAGCATGCAGTAGCATTACAGAAGGAGCGCGTCAAGCGTTAAGTCTCCATTAGCCATCAAAACGACGCGGTATCATTTATTGTTTGTTTGCCCTAGAATGATAAAATGGTCTCGTTTCACTTACAAAACTCAACCACCTCCACTATGAAAATGACACCGTTTTCATGGGAAACCAATCCTACATAGCTCAAGCTATGGCAAACAAAATAACTCCAACCTTTTCAACTATGGCAGACCAAACTTTCGAATCAGAGTAAAAATAATTCCGAACAACGACGAGAACAGTCTAAAGTGCACCTGCGATGCTGGAATTTTATCTGACCATGACACTCCGAGAGCTACGAATCGACGCAGCATGATGATCTAGCCGCCTCCTGTTTTGTGTCTTCTACGATTCTTTGTCGAGAATGGAGCTAGCAGATATGGAGATGATAAAGGAAAGGGAGAATTCGCAGTGGGAGACGGAGAAGAGGAGGATGGAATTGGACTTCTAGTTGACTTGCATGATGCTAGGAATTCAATTGCAGATCGCATCAATTGCACTAGGAAGGGGCCAAGCAAGACGAGGAAGCGAATTGAAGTAGACGAAGATGAGTTGACCATCTCAACAGCGCGAGTAGTTTTTTATTGTCTTTTTTTTCTCTTTTCCATCATTGCCCAACTCAATCGTAACTGTGTTGCGGAAAGGAGCTTTGATTGCAGGGGAGGAGCTTTGTTGCTAAGTTTGTTACTGTGCAACTTTGGCTTTTGAATTGTATAATGGCATGTGATTTTTCATCTTCTTTTTCAATAAGTAAAATAATTTTGCTCAAAACAAAAATATGAGATTGATTGTATTGCTACCTGCTCCAAGATCATTGTATTGCTGGCAATTAATAATACTCTGTCTTCCTAAAAAGCATAAATTGATTTCAAAAACATAATCACAGTGGAGGAGGCTGAGTTTTGTAAGTGAAACGGTACCATTTTATCATTCTAGGATAGACAAATAGTAAATAATACGACATCATTTTGATGGCTAACGGAGACTTAACGCCTAACGCGCTCCTTCTATAATGCTACTGTACGCTCTATCAAAGTTTCACCAAAAGGAGCGAGTGGGCATCACACACGAAGTTTGGGTGCGCAATAGGTAAATGTTTTAAAAAAGGCATAAATTGAAAATTTTGTTAAAGTTCGAGGGCAAAAAATATGTTTAGCCTAAATTCACCTCTGAATTTTGCAACTTTAATTTTAAAAAAGGCATAAATTGAAAATTTTGTTAAAGTTCGAGGGCAAAAAATATGTTTAGCCTAAATTCACCTCTGAATTTTGCAACTTTAATTTTATGGCAACCTAAACTTTGCAGATGATTTATTGTGTACTTAAACTTGTAATTACACACATTTCAACAGTAATATTGATAATTTTTAAGGTTTTTGACTTTTTTCTGTAAAATATCGACTTGATATATAATTAGCAAGATATTTGAAATAATAATTTTCATAAATTTCAACACCTTAATGAGTGTTTAATTAATCTAATTTTGAGAGTTGAAGTATTCAATAAAATAATTTCGAAAATTAAAGTATTTAATAGGTTAAAATAAAAGTTGAAGGTGCTATAAAATTGAAGTAACAAAGTTCGAGGGTAAATTTATATATTTGGTCTTTTTTTTATCTTACTCAAACATGACAATATGCTATAAGAATTATGTAGCCATATAACAAAAATGTATTACAATTAGAAGATTTAAATACAGATAATACAACAATAAATGATAATATAGTTGTGCATTAGTAACTCAACCACATTTAAGGCAATATTTACTAGTAACAAAGCAAACAATTTATACTTTGCACTTTTCCTATAGTCTAAATTAAATAACTTTGTCTATTTAAATTAAACACTCAATGGAAACTTTATTTACATAAAAGAATCGAGGGGGTAATTGTTTACTTTATATGATATTAGAGTGTCTCTAACTCTTTTCTTTTTTTTTTTTTAAATATTTGTGAAATAAATTGTTATTTACAACAATGTATATCTTTAGTATAAATAAGATAATAAAAAATATTTGTGAAATAAATTATTATATAAAACAATATATATCTTTAGTATAAACAAGGAAAGATAATTAAAAAAGTATAATTTAAAAAATTTTCAATTTTTCATACAAAAAAATTCTATTTTCTCAAAGATATAATACCATTAAATATTTAATATAAAAAAATAGTTTGAACGGATTCTTTTTACTAATTTTCATTCTATTTCCAAAAAAAAAAAAAAAAAAAAAAAAAAAAAAAAAAAAAAAAAAGAGATATTTTGGAAAAAAATAACCAATAATTGATTAATAAAATAATTAAAAATGCAAAAATATTTTAAATTTTGGCCATATTGTTGACGATTGAACTATATTCAATTATATTGTATTTTTTGCAAAAAAAAAAAAAAAAAAAAAAAAAAAAAAAAAAAAAAAAAAAAAAAAAAAAAAAAAAAAAGAAGAAGAAGAAAATACAGTGCAACTACGAGAAGTCGCAAAGCTCATATCATTCACTTATTAGGCGACCACCAACAGACTTGCCTTTAATCAACTACAGCCCAACTCACACATTCGATGAATCCTCTTACCTCCATCACCATGGCCCCACTAAAAACTTGCAATTGCTTCCACAATCTCATGAAAAGCAGCTCAGCATTAGATGGGATTTGCTTCCTCTTCTTCCACCCTTCTTTGCTAGACACCCTAAACCCTGAATCCTACACTTCCAAAAATTAATTTGAGAAAAAACTAATTTTCAAACAAGCAAAAATAATTACTCTTAGACCTGAATGAACCCGATGAATTTTCTCGAGCTATGAACAACAAAACCTTAGTCTCAACTCCCTCTCAACGTATAACTTGAGCAAAACTTGAAGCTATGGCAAGTTCTTTTCCACAACTCTATAACTTGTAAAGGATGAGTAACACAGACAAAATATATATAATATATTATATATATATATATATATATATATATATATATATATATATATATATATAAAATAAAAAACAATTAATAGAAACCATCTCATCAGAGAAAACTTCTACGTAACAAAACAATCACAGTTGGGAAGGGATAAAGGTCCACAGAAGGAAAAATATATATAAAATAAAAAACAATAAATAGAACCATCTCATCAGAGAGAAACTTCTACGTAACAAACAATCACAGTTGGGAAGGATAAGTCACAGAAGGAAAAAAGAACATAGTAACTGCAGGAACTACTACTCTATCATGCTAAATGAAAGTTCTCTCCAACGACCCACTTGCTTCTGCAAAAAAGTTCAAGCACGTCTTCCTTGCTTTCCTTTCAGCTCAGGGTCCCTAAACACCATATGTAGCTGGGAATCAGAATACAAAATCATAGAGATTTAGTATTATCACGCAAAGTGCGAGTCAGACCTCTGAATATGGTCAAGAATAAGGAGCCTTGGTCCAGGTGGGATCCTGACATCTCTAAGAGCACTGAAACATATCATAGCAACCAAATCTCCATAAGAATATATAGTCAGTCAGTTAACAAAAGATCAAACAAAATAAGATCGTATTGATGAATATCAAAGCAATTGAAAAAAATAATAATAAAATAGCCCATCTAGGTACCTATCGGTTAGCAATGGCAAAGTGCTGTCTGTTAAGAAGCCTTTCTTAAAGTTTTTCTCATATTTCTGTAGGCCAAGGTTGTTTAACATGGTCCTTGTTCTGACATAATTTGTATCTTCAGCTGCTTGTGGTTGTTGAGAGAACTTTTGCCCTAACTGAATAATCCCATGAAAATTACTCTCCATATGGGCAAGCATGAATAAAAAGAATGCTACTATAGAACAGAATTTTAAAATCAGAACAACTGGCACACATATAAGACATTAGAGGTTATGGTTTAGTGAACTTAAGGATGAGATACACTTGGCAAGATTGATCACAAGGTGCCCCTGTTTTGGCATGCAGTTTCAATAGCCATCCACATGTAGATGTATTTAAAAGCAAAGAGACTGGGGGGGAAAACGCTTAAGCATTTGCACTACAAAAGGCAAAGAGATCAATTCTCTTTCTTGACGCTTACCTGGTAAAGCCCACCTTGAACAAGTGCAAAAAATAGTCCAGAACTGACTGCATTGGCAGCTTGATTTGGGCCACCCATGCCACTAACCAATGAAAACATGGCTCCAGATCCAAAAGCTGCTACCATGCTGCAATGACAAAAGTAAACAATCTTCAACAGAAGTGAGATCTTCAACAAGTAAATAAACCTAGTAAGCACAGCACTTCAAATTTTCTTATGTATGAATATCCCGCAGATATTGAATACTGACTACAGATATAGTATTAGAAAAAAATACAGACATCCTTAAATTATGTCCAAACCAACACTTATGTCCCTCTAGTTGATGAAATAACTCCTAATTTATGACTCTATCTTGTTATGGAGTCCCTCTGTCCAAAAAGAGGCCCCTATGCCATCAGATGCCTTGAAAAAGACAAAATTGCCCGTGAAGTAATTTCCTGTCTTCTATCTGTCTCTCTAAATTTTCTTCATGTTTGTTGTAGCTCATTGTGGAAGAGTTGGTTAGTGTTGGGTTCATTAGGCTTCTCCAATTTCTTTCGGTTTGAGGGGGTGTGGTGTGAATGGTTTCAGAGGAAGTGCAGAGAAAAAGCTACACCAGGAGGTGTAAAAGAGGTACCTAGCAATCACAGGCTTGCCTCGGCAATCGTCACCATTTCTTGAAAAATGATTTTCAAGGTAACTAATTTTTTTGGTGTTTTCTCAACTGGGTTGTTTCCATACTTTGAGATTTGATTCCCATCTCTTTGTCTATCTCCTTGGGTTTTCTCATGCTCATTTCAATCAACTCACCATTTTCAATAATGGGCATTGCCTTCTTGCTTGATAATAACGTCACGCTATCAACCCACTCCCTTTTGAAGGCAATCCAAAGCTTGCCTGTATTGGAGCTAGCCTTAATTTGCATTAATTTGACGCTTTTTCTCGTCTTTCTTTTATAATATCTGCTAGACAAATATTTGTTTGTGTTGGCTGGATTAGATTTATTGAGGATGATATTTCAGTTGCTAATGCAAGCCTAACTCGATGAAGTAGTGCCGATGAAGAGATTCGAGAGGTTATAATTGTTAGCTGGTTTACGTTGGTCTTACTTTGTTGTTTTTATGTTTGTTTTTTTTTTTTTTTTTTTTTGGCAATTTTTTGGTTGTTGGGGTTTGATGGCTATTTATTTGATTAAAGAGAGGTATGTTATTTTTTTTTTTTTTTTTTTGCAATTTTTGGTGTTGGGGTTTGATGGTATTTATTTGATTAGAGAGGTTGTTAATGGGAAAGTTATGGATTGGTCTAATAATTTCTTTACCTGTTGCCCAAGGATTAGCTTGGTTTATGTTGAGCTTTTCTGCACTTCATTGTAAATTTAAGACGTCTAAGAAATTTGGCTCATTTCCGCCCGCAGTACCTCAACTTGGGAGGGTCGTCACTTTACAGTCCCTCATCTTAATTTTCTCTTAAAACTGTCTCATCTTCTATTTTTGTAACACTAAAATGACTATGGCTGGAAGGGACATCAGGCGGCTGATGCGGCCAGCCGGAGTGAATAAAAATATATTAAATAGCTAGGTCAGTCGCCCATGTGTCATGTTGATATTTCTCTCTCCCCTTGTTTTCTCTCTTATACTACCTTTCCTGCCCGAAACCCTAAATTGGAAAATCAAATTGGCCAACCATCTTCAACAAGACCACCATGGCTGCAAGCAACTAAAACGCCATTATAAGTAATATGATTGTTGGTTTTCTTCATTTCATAAAACATTCTAAGTGCCTTAGTCTCCCATACACTCCAAGCCCAGGATCAATGCAGACCAAGTTAACACATTGCTTTCAGGCATTTTATCGAACACTTTGATAGAATCATCGACAGACCCACATCTAGAATACACATCAATCAGTACAATACCTAGTGATACAGTAAGATCCAAGTTATTTCTAGAAATATAAGCATCAACCAACACCACCATTTTAATGATCCTAAGTTAGAAATAGCCAATATCACACTTAGCATTGTCACCACATCAGGGTTTACATTTCCGTCAAATTACATTCATCGAAATAAACCTAGAGAGCAAAACCATTGTTAGCTAAAAAGCAATCATTAAAGACCATGAGACAATATCTCTATCACGCATTTCCTCAAACACTTCAAAAGCAACATCAACAAAACAATAACTGCCATAAGATTGATAATGCATTTTGTGCATCAATACTCGAATCAAAACCAAGCTTTGTTATAGGAGAATGGAGGTCTTGACCCAGTTGGAGATGAGAACAAGCCTTGAACAAAAGAAGAATCAAACCCATGCTTTGTTATTTTTCATTTTTGCAGAATTTACAAATCCATATGGACTTCATTCTGTGTCTTGGGCTAATTCAAAACTGTCGTCGGATAGGTTGTGTCATTTTGGCATTGCACGCAATTATCCTGATTTCGATTTAAAAAATGACCTCTATTGGTATGATAAGAAAGACAAAGGCTCCTTCATGACTCCAACCTTCAATGGGCCAAACTACTTTACTGGTGCAAGTAAGGATAAGTTTGTCATGCTCTTTGAAAATCTGCTGAATTTGCAAGACAAAACAGAAGGATTTGAAACAGAAGCAACCAATGGTGACTTCAATAAGTCTTGTCTTTTTAATGAGACATATGTGAAAGATAAAAATGAAACTCAGGCAATGGACTATTATCATTTTGATAAAGAAAATCAAATGAAAGGAGACATTGAGGGGAATGGTGGTCCACTTCCCCTTTGCAAATGTTGTACAAGAACAAGAGGAAATTATGATTTGGGTGATTTTCAGCTAAAAGTTGGAGATGAGAAGTGATTTTCAAGAGTAAATGCCGTTGCCGCCATTTCAGATGAGAAGTTCCGAAGACGTAATGCAAAAATATGTGAAGGTGAAGCCTCTTACATTTCCTCTTGCATCTTCATCTCCTCTCCACCTAAACTCATCATCTTCTACTGATTCTATTGTTGTCATTCATCTCTTAATTATTAAATGAGCAGATAGCCATTGGAGGAGCTCAATCCAAGGATTTCTTTGATAGGTATGAGGATATAAAAGGATCCGACGGCTGAAGTTTTGGTCACTTGATCACTTGCTGGTTGATAAATACAAATTTCCTAAGAATGATGAGATGAGCAACCTTCAACTTAAAGTTGGGTTTTGAAAGAGCTTTAGGGGACTCTATGGACAACCGAGGTGGATAGCAATGAGTGGGACCCACAGTTGACTTGGCTTTAATTTATAATTTTTTTTTCACTGTGTTTTTTAACGGAAATAGGTAGAGTCCTTTAGCGTTAAAAATATCAAAGATGACACAGTTTCAGAGAGAAGGCTTATTTTCACACGTGGTCCCAGAATTATAGCCAATATCACATTGTCATACCTAAAATTCAATTTGTAATAAAAAAAAATCCCTAAACAACTATTTGTGTAAGAATAAAATCCCTTTGACAGAATTAATGGAATTCTGACAACCGAAATGCCACGTGTCATACACGTGGCTTTGTCCATATCAAAAAATACTTACATGTCGACATCCATATTTCTCTCTCATGGCAACAATGCAAAAACCACAACCACTACCACTCCTCTCTCTCTCCTAAATCTAAAACCACTTTCACCTTTCTCTCTCTCTCTCTCTCTCTACAAAATCTTACCACTTCATGTCGTTTCCATCCTCTTCTTTATATCTCTTTGATCTATCTCTTTCTTTTCGGTAAGGCCTTTCAGTTCTTGTGTCTTGTCAAGGATAGACGGCCTAGAGCACATAATTCATGTTCTACAGTTTTCAATTTTGATTTTTGTATTTTATTGATTGCTTTTTTTCTCTCTCCCTCTCATTATGGCTGTAGCTGGTTGAATATTACTATTTATTGATATTTTTGTTCGTTTGCTAAATCAAATCTGTAATATCTTGCTAATATCTAAGGTTTTGATAGGGATTATTTAAAAAAAAAAAAAAAAAAAAAAAAAAAAAAAAAAAGTTTCGTTTTTGCTAAATCAAATCTGTAATATCTTGCTATATTCTTAAGGTTTTGATAGGGATTATTTAACAAAAAAAAAAAAAAAAAAAAAAAAAAAAAAAAAAAAGAAAAGTTTGGGATTTTAAAAAAAATTATTGATTTTTTGGTTACAGTTTGATTATCTGAAAAAAAAAAAAAAAAAAAAAAAAAAAAAAAAAGAAAGTTGATTAAAAAAATTATTGATTTTTTGGGTTACAGTTTGATTATCTGTCTGTGCTTTATTCATTTGAGCTTGAATTTTTGAATGAGAATAAATTGTAGTTTCTTTATTAACATGGTGGTAGGGAATATTGATCTTTCAAGAAGAGGTTATGGTATCTCTAGTAAATACTTTGATTGCAATAGGAATGGTTTCATTAAGCATGGTGTGATATATAACAGTGGGTATCATATCTCGTTAGATGCTTTTAATTTTTGTTTTAAAAGAACTAGGCTTAGTTATAGAAATGTAGAGGAAATGTTTGGTTATCCTTAGGAGAGAATGTGATAGTGGTTTTAGATTTTCGAGAGAGAAAGAGAGGGGTGGCCATGGTAGTGGTGGATCATTGGCAAGAGAGAGAAATAAAGATGCTGACATGTAAAAATTTTTTATATAAATAAAGCAACGTATCATCTACATGGCCTTCTCGGTTGTTGGAATTCCATTAATTCCGGCCAGAGGGATTTTATTGTTACAGGAATAGTATTTCAAGGATTTTTACGTTACAAATTGAATTCTAGATACGAATGTGATAAAGGCTGTAGTTCAAGGACAACGAATAAAAATAAGCCCAAAGAGAAAAAAATTAAGATGAGGGACTGTAAAGTGATGACCTTAAGTTGAGGAACACCGGGTGAAAATAAGCCGAGAAATTCTCACTATTGTTGAGGATGCGGTGGGTTTTCTCATTTTTAAATTGTTTGTGTAGTTTGCATGTGGATGGGAAAAGTTTTATGATTGAAGGTGTGAAGCACTTGAGTTCTCATGCTGTGGTGAATCTTGCTGCAACTCCAGCTCTTGCTTTTCTATGTTTTGTAGCAATTAGAGGTATTACTGGAATACAAAGGGTAGAGATGGTATTTAAGAAATAATTTTCATCGGCAATTTCAACTTTTCTAAGGCATCTGACAGCAAAAAGGGCCTCTTTTTGGACGGAGGGACACCGTAATCTAACAAAATCATAAGTTTATTTCATCAAATTAGAGGGACGTAAGTGTTAGTATGGATATAATTTAGAGACGTCAGTGTATTCCTCCCTCAGAAAAAATTAAATTATAATCTGAATAAACTCCATAGACACATTTGTTATCCCATCTTTTTCTAATTTTAATCCAACATAGAAATGACACAAAAAAAATCAGGTTCAACGAAAGCAGGCGGTTTTTAAACAAATACAGCAAATTAGAAGTTGGTTATACATCACATGCCAAGGGCTGCTCGATGGGAGTATAATGTGTTCCTTTGCCAAAGTTATTTCTAATGCTCAAGCACTTATTCGGCACATCTCCAATGGTGAAAAGCATAGCTGGGAACTCAGCTAGTACTTCAAAATAATATTTTATGTATTTTATGCAAGAAACTCAATCTTTTCAGAAAGGGTGTTTCTTCTCAGATTTGCTAAAAAAATTGTCCAGACCTAAGAGAGTGCAAGAGTGCAACAAATTTGTGTAGCTATACATAGCCTTTAATATTATAATAGTGGCCAGACCTTAAAAAGTGCAATACATTCCAAGTAATTGATAAGGCATATATTTTGTTCAAAATTTTCAGATATGGAATTTTACATGACATTTTTAAAAAGTAAGTAAGAGGTAAAAAGAAGGACATGGTAAGATGACATAAAATTAACTTTTAAACACAATAAAAATAATTTTTGAAGTAATAATCATTATTGGAGAAATAAAAATATACTTCTGAAGTTCTAACATCAATTTGGAGATTTAACAGTACTAGGGTACAACTGACACCATGATTAACTGTTATCTACATGAACTAATACAAATTTAAGCCATTGACCACAACTGAAAATCAGATTGAAGGTTTGGATTTTTGTAGTCATCAACCTTAAAAGGACTCGAGCAAGTTTTGAAAATAGGATTATCATCGTACATCTCATCCAAATCACATAACAAATGTGAAAAAAAAGAAAAAAGAAACGAAAAGAAGTGTAGTTGAAAATAATAAAAATAGTTGTGATAATCTTCTTGATTTATCTATGCTACTTTGCATCAATAAGACGGTGAAGCTTAAAAAATCAGAAATCCGCCAAAATAAGCAACGCAAACAGTCATTTTAAGAGGAAACAGAAGTATCAAAACTGTTGTGTAAAAAGATCAATATAAATGAAGGAATAATCATTCGAAAAAAAGAACCTGGATTGAACATCCTCCTTGCCTCTCACTCTTTTCATGATACAAGAAATGCCCGCATTGACACCTGTCATGACAGCAAAGTTTCGAGCTTGTACCAAGGGACCTCCAGATAAGGCCTATTGTCAAAGTAAGTCATTGAACCAAAAACCTTGCAGACCAGATAATAAGAATGCAGTGGAGCCAATTGCATAAATAGGAGCCAAACTTAACAATCCACATCCTAAAACTGGTATGGTGCTTCAATTAAATATACTGTTAGATATACAACAATATCAAGAAACAAATACAAGTAATTGCCTTTCTATTCATCAGAAATGTGCTTCAATTTTGATTAAAAACATTCTCTATAAAATAATTTATAAAACAATACCATCTCTAATCTCTTGTCAATTGACCTAATTAATTTGTTTATCTTTAATTTTATAATGAATATCCTCAAACTGCAAATCAATCAAAATATAAAATTCAATTATAAACCAACAATTTGATTATTAAAAAAAAAATGAAACAGACAAGTAACATTGTTGCAGAGAGAAGAATACCTGGGCTTGCTTGAGAGAAGCCATAGCCTGAGGGTCTAAGTTGGCCTGAGGAGGAGTAGGAAAAGAGGAAGAAACGTCGTTAGTTAGGGTTCCCATAAAGCCACCAATAGCAGCGCCTTGGATGGCGGAGGTTGCAGTAACGACGGCGGCCTCTACAGGCAAAGACTGTTTGGATAGCCAAGACTTGAAACCAGTCTCGAATTCCTTGTACTTAAGCTCCAATTGCTTTAATGGATTTTGATTAGGTACCATGATTGCTTGTTTTCCCTGCTCCATTATCCTCTGCAACTTCTGATTCTTCTTGTTATGCTGTTGCCGCCGTTGCTATGAGGATATAGCAGAGGAAATATTGATTCGAGTTGTTAGCTTTTGTTTTGTCTTTTTTTATTTTAAAACCTGCTTTTTTTAATATTTATTTATATATGTATCCCTCCTCAACCCTAACGCTGCTAGTTTGGCATCTATTTGACATTTAGACAAATTAGTAGGGAAATGTTACTATTTTATCTTCATATTTTGTAAAAATGTATAATTTTACCCTTATATTTTTTGAAATATATAATTTTATCTTTTTTTTTTTTTACGTCCGTTGCACTGTTATATTCTTCCGTTAATATTTAATACTTTTTATATAAACAAATTAGTTAATTTGGACAAATTTACTGATGAAAAAAATACAAAAAATTTACAGGAGGACACAACAGTCAATGAAAGCAAAAGATAAGGACAAACTCTGTATTTCTACATTCTCTTCTTCCTCCTTATTCCTAAGTGTTAGGCGCTTGTCTCCTATGATTGTTTTCCATTTTGATTTGGTAGTAGCTTTGGCTTCTCTCTTCTTCCTTTGTTCATCCACTTTCTTCAAATAATCCGTGTCCACCATATTTGCAAAGAATGAAAAAACGTTGTGCAGTCAGTTAAAAAATAAGCGAGTATAAGAAATGACATGACAATACCTTTATTTGCCCTTCTTATGTATGAGCTTTTGCCTGAACAAATCGCAAGATATTTTAAAGTTAATAAGCCCTCGGGATGGATAGGCTTATGAGCATACTTAGCCAAAAGTATCAACGCTTACTTTCTTCTTGTCAGTTAGTAGCCTATCCTCATGAAAGGTAGAAGCATCTGTAAACTAGCAAATTCCCACGCCAAACCCCTTCGGGCTTTTTACTACAAAAAACTTTTCTTTCCATCTCCCTTTCAGGAAACCTGGCATCCCATCAAAAATAGCACAATAGTCTCGAGCAGACAAATGGGGATGGTCTTCTTTCTCCCGGTTGGTTAATGAATAAAATGCAGCATATGATTATCGGAAAATCAAAGCTCTAATTACTTTTCCAAATTCAAATCTCTCTCGCTTTACACAATCACTCTTCCTCCATGGCGCTTTCTTTAAAAAGCAACCATAACCAAAACTAAAGCCCTTTCATCTTTTATATGTTGGATCTTGTCCGAGGAGGTCAATGCCTTCCACTAAGATATAAAAATAGTGTTTGGCTCAGGGTTTTAAAGCTCAACCATTCAACAATAGATTGAATCACAAATAAACGATTGTTTTCTATAATTGATGGACATCTTTCTATCACAACCTATTATTAAAGATTTTATTTTGATTTTGGATTTATGAAATGGATTTCAGCTGATTTCTTCGAATGTGATTTTTTCGGTTTAAATAAATATTTTGATTTTTATGAGAAGATTACTTAAATTACAGTTTTTCTATATTAAAGATTTTTTTGAAGGAAAGAGTGCAAGAGTTAAAAGAAAAGAAGTGGGAAAATGGAAGGCGGTGATGGTAATATCATAAGATTTTTTTTTTCAAATTTAGATCCACCCATTTATTATATATTTTTATCATTATAATTAGAGTTATTAATCATAGTAGTTAAGTTTACCATTATAATATATCTCTTTATTTTTAGAAATTTTTTAAATATAAATAATTAGTTGATGTGGTGTATTGAGATCCACCCATTTATGTATATATTTTTATCATTATAAATTTAGAGTTATTTAATCATATAGTTAAGTTCTACCATTATAATATATCTTCTTTATTTTTAGAAATTTTTTAAATATTAATAATTGTTGATGTGGTTGTATTTTTGGTAGAGTTATTAATCATAGTAGTTAAGTTTACCATTATAATATATCTCTTTATTTTTAGAAATTTTTTAAATATAAATAATTAGTTGATGTGGTGTATTGGTAATTTGAACCCTAACGCTGCTAGTTCGGCATCTATTTGACATTTAGACAAATTAGTAGGGAAATATTACTATTTCATCTTCATATTTTGTAAAAATGTATAATTTTACCCTTATATTTTTAGAAATATATAATTTTACCTTTATTTTTTTTGCGTCCGTTGCACTGTTATATTCTTCCGTTAATATTTAATACTTTTTATATAAACAAATTAGTTAATTTGGACAAATTTATTGATGAAAAAAATACAAAAAATTTACAGGAGGACACAGCAGTCAATGAAAGCAAAAGATAAGGACAAACTATTTATTTCTACATTCTCTTCTTCCTCCTTATTCCTAAGTGTTAGGCGCTTGTCTCCTCTAACTGTTTTCCATTTTGATTTGGTAGTAGCTTTGGCTTCTCTCTTCTTCCTTTGTTCATCCACTTTCTTCAAATAATCCGTGTCCACCATATTTGCAAAGGATGAAAAACGTTGTGCAATCAGTTCAAAAATAGGCGAGTATAAGAAATAACAAGACAATACCTTTATTTGCCCTTCACATGTATGAGCTTTTGCGTGAACAAATCACAAGATATTTTAAAGTTGATAAGCCCTCGAGATGGATAGGCTTATGAGCATACTTAGCCAAAACCATCAATGCTTACTTTCTTCTTGTCAGTTAGGAGCCTATCCTCATGAAAGGTAGGAGCATCTGTAAACTAGCAAATTCCCATGCCAAAACCTTTCAGGTTTTTTACTACAAAGAACTTTTCTTTCCATCTCCCTTTCAAGAAACCTGGCATCCCATCAAAAATAGCACAATAGTCTCGAGCAGACAAATGGGGATGGTCTTCTTTCTCCCGGTTGGTTAATGCATACAAGGCATTTATTGCATAGCGGAGAACTCTAAATTGATCTGGTGTGCCAAAGCACTAAGACATAAGACTATTTTAATGATATTAGGGGCGAGTTGGGAGACAGTAATACTTAGGTGATTAAGATAATCACATAAATCTTCTTGAAGAGGGAGGCAAACCCTAGCCCTTAAGTCCTCTTCGTACAATGTATCATGTAAAGTTATTAGTGTGTTGTTCAATAAATCTGTGGATTTTTTTTCAATTGACTCTCTAAAAGTACGAAATTATTTGAAATGTGGGAGCTGAGCTAGAGATATAAATTGATAGTATAAATTAATAATGTCACATTATGGCTTATTGTTGCTAAAACTGGTTTAAAGGACTAGATTCATGTGAGTTAGGCTTAATATGGGCCTCGGGAACCTGAAACTTACTTGGGCCTTAGTGTCAGTCAGACCCACGGTTTTGGGTCATGATAGTTTTGTGGGCTGAAAAATACCAGGTGATTTTGTTGATCAGATGCTATCATCATCTCAAAGAAATCATTAAATGAGTATCTAGCATGCTATAGAAATCCATCACGTGTGCCAAAAGACACTACAGAAATATTAAAAGCAAGTACTATATATTGAAATGGCATTCCCTTGCCCATTTCGATGAAAGAAGTATGGATTTATTGGGTTGCCATCATCAGAGTGTAATGAATGTTCGATTAAAAGCAGGTATCATGTAAGGAAATTTATGTTTTGATTACTTAACTTGAAATATTTATGAATCAAATGTGTTTTGGTGAAAAAAATACTTAAATGAATATTTTTTTATTGAAACCATTAGTTAACCTGGTGGACTCTTAACAAAACATTATTTTTTCGCGTATTTTTGCTGATTAGTAGTTACATCCTATATTTGTACAAAAACTACCAAATGAATTGTGTGTTTTAGTGAAAAGTCCATTTAACAATTTAAAATTTTTATTTTGTATTGAAACCACTAGTTGAATTGGTGGTCTCGGTACAAAATAAAAATTATTATTTATTCATATAATTATTTTTTACTGATTGCTTTCTTTTTATATTGCACTGACACTGTCAATAATTCATTAATAATGAATATAAATTGAGTACATCGTAAAATTCCTATAGGAATAATAAATACAAGTATAGAAAATTGAAATCTTCTGTTAGATATATTCTTGATCTTAGCAAAAGAGGTTAATTTTTCGGGTAAAAACTGATCAATTTTCAAATAGTACGACAAAAGAAACTTTTTACGATATTGTCCCGATCATTATTTTTTGGAAAACTTGTTATAATTAACATCCACAGAAGAGTTTAATATAACAAACTTGAATGGAGAAACACACCGTATTACTAGACTCTATTGGTAAAAGAAACTTACCCGAACTTGAAGATCTGAAATCTCCAACCATAAGAATCAAAAATCCATCTTGTATTTCGAATTGCCAGATAAATAAAAGATATACATAAAAACGCCTCAATAATAAGGAACAGCTCCATGAAAGGAGAGAATTAATAATCCTAATAGGAGGTATCAAAAACACTCAAGATCTATCAACTATTATAGATCTGAGAGACTAAATCAAAATTTTGTTCCAAATGATCATAGGTTTGAAAATTATTAGAAGAAAAACTAAGGCTCCATTTATTTCTGTAAAATAACTTGTAAAAAAATATTTTTCATAACTTTTCGCTATTTAGGGTGTTCAGGAAGATAAGTCAAAGGAAAATATTTTCCTGGTCAAAAGAAAATTAAGCATTTTTTAAGGAAAATAACTTTCCATTTTTGAGAGTGTAAAACATTTTTCAGACATTGGTAAACCTTATAAATCTATATTTTTTAATTTATTAATCATCAAAGTCACTACCACCAGTCACCATTTATCACCGACCACCACTGGCTACCACCACTGACCACCACCAAAGGGTACCAGCAGCCACCACCACCCATCACCGGCCACCGATGACTTTCATAATTTACATTTTTTTCCATTCTTTTCATATTTAACAATCAAATTTTTAAATTATAAAATTTCTATTATTATTAGTATTTTTTACGATCTTATTAGATAAAGACTTTAAATATTTATATCAAAATATTTTTCAACAAATTATTTTACGAAAACAAACGGAGAATAAATAAAATAAACAAAAATGATAGTGAGAGATGGAAAGAAACTACAGTCCACCAAGGAAGATGGTCAACGGTAGTGTAGAAACAAAATCTAGAAAATTACAAAAAAGAGAGAACCAGAGTCATTGAACGGCTAAGGTTTAAGAAACACCGTCAATTGAGTTGGTGGTTTTAGTGCATGTTAGAATATATCTTG